TTTACCCAAAACGGATATTGGGGGGGGTTGGTTTGTTTAGGTAAGCTTAGTCAGGATAGTTAGGTTAGGTAAGGAAGGTTAAATTTTTGGATGGTTAGGTTAGGTGAATAGGCTAGGTTAGGATAGTTGGTTATCCGATTTCGGTGAAAAATTTCATGTTCAAATGTCCCCTCGGCCCCAAATTTCCCTCGGTGAAATGTCTGTCGGCCAAATGTCGGGAGCCAGGCATCGTGGGGGTCAGGATGTCTATTTATGTCCCATCCTGCTCAATTCTCCAGTTTCTTCCTGAGAAATTTAGGAATGGGATCAGTTCCCCGAGGCTTTTTAAAAAGGCTATATGTCGGGGGAAAGACTGTGTCTTAGTAGAAATTTTTCTCATGCATGGATCATTTTTGATTTAAATTGGATCATTTCAATCACCTGGGCAAGTCATGTAAGGGGATTCCTTTTTACCTTTTAGTGTGCCCCATCCAGGAACCAGATTTTAACTCAGGTCAGCCTCATAGTGATTTCCCAAAACCCCCCAAAAAAAAAGAAATGGACGAGGGATCCCCTTGAGTAATTTCATACTATCTGAAAGGGGCATTGATTCTTTGCTGTATCCAGCTTAAAAAGAAAGACAAAAGACCAGGGGAAACGTTTTTTTTACAGCTGTTCCTTTTTTTAGGAGATTACATGCATTCTTGATATCTAGTTTTACCACGCTTTTTCCCGGATTTTTTGATACAGCCCTGTTTCATGAACCCCTGCTTTGTTCCTTTTAGGGCCCCCCCAAACAAAGTGGTTTGCTTGAAGATTAATATATAATAATAATATATATATATATATAATTTTTAAATTATATTTATATATATATATTATAAATTATATATATGTCGTTCCGAATACTTTAAAATTTTAATTAGCAAGAATTTATTTAAAATTAAATTTTTCTAAAATTTTTCAAAACGTTTAAAAAATTTTTTCCTCTTCATTTATTTAATGCAAAAATTAATAAATTTTGGGACCAAAAAAAACCTTTAAAAAACTTTTAACAAGCTCAATTTAATTTGTAATCTAACAAAAAACATTTTTTGATAACTTAAATAATTTAATAATAACAAACCAATGAAATAAAATTTTTTTTGATAGCTCAGAAAAAGCTTTTCGAAATTACTGGGAACACAAATTTTCTCTTTCCTTTCGGCAAGAGGGGTTGTATTTAAGAAAATCGCAAGTCTTACCTATTCAGCACGAAGTATATAAATTTTTCGTGCCTAATAGGTAAAACGGGGCAATTTCAAGAACCAAATTTTAACTTAAGTCCTTTCTAAAATTTCCTCTTTTTCATTTAAAGATATTTTTTTTTTAATGTTTAAAAGTAAAAAATTTTAATTTTGACCAAAAGAATCTTAAAAACTTTCCTAACCTTTTTAAACAAATGCAATTTTTTTAGCCCAATCCAACTAAATATCTTTGTTTACAATAATTTTAAAAAAAAAAAAAACAAAAATATTTAAATTTTTTTGTTAGGTTTAGAATGATTTTGTGAATTTTTGCAACACAAATTTTCACTTGTCCTATATGGGAAGAGGCGTTGTATTTAACCAAGTCGCAAATTTTACAATTCGAAAGACAACACACAACACACACACAAAACAAACACACACAAAAACCCCCCCCCAACACACAACACACACACAAAAACACACACAACACACACACAAAACTTTAAGGTACGCAGTGCTATAACCAATCTACCCACACTGGACAATACCTTGGCGTGCAGCTTGCGCTACACGTTGATCCAACGCAGCCAGCTTTCAGGGAGACGGCTTACAGCTTTTCATCTCATCCCCTGCATGCATCAGCCTTACTAGAGAATTTAACAATGTAAAAAAAAATCTCTAGTAAGGCTGATGCATGCAAGGGATGAGATGCAAAGCTGTAAGCCTTCTCCCTGAAAGCTGGCTGCCTTGGATCAACGTGTAGCGCAAGCTGCACGCCAAGGTATTGTCCAGTGTAGGTAGATTGGTATAGCACTGCGTACCTTGTTCCAAGGTTGCTGTTTCGGTGTTGTTTTTGTGTGCTATAACTTTATGTCGTTATGTTATTATCATTTTCTTCTCAGAGCTGATATGAAAGTCTTGAATTTAAGAGACAGTATATGTAACATGGATACCACAGCGGCGTCACCGGCCCTCCCCAGGTAACATATAATTGTTGCCCAGCATTTATGTTTAGGCTCAGAGGCCGACTAACGTATGGAGACTAATACACTGATTATATATATAATTATCTGAGTGTAAATTATAGGTTGTCTTTTGTTAGCTCATGTTGCAAACTTTATTACGCCTCTTTTATAATGTTTTACATATTTGGTGAGCAGGATAGTACTGTGTATTGGTCCGGCCTGCTCACTGTGTTAATAATAATAATAATAATAATAATAATAATAATAATAATAATAATAATAATAATTATTATTATTATTATTATTATTGTAATTTTAATTATTATAATAAATACTATAAATATTATTATTACTGATGCTTGAATAATTATAATAATAGCAATAATAATATTAATAATAAAAATACTTATAATAGTTATTATTGATACTTGAATAATAATAACAATGCTTATAACATTATTATTTATTATTATTATTATTATTACTATTATTATTATTATTATTATTATTATTATTATTATTATTATTGATTGCATATAGCTTACATTTGTACAACTACAATAGATACACTATCGTTATAAACAAACACTTACAATAAATAGTGTACAATTAGCTCGTGGCTCAAGTGATAGCGTCTTCGGACAGCATCTAAGAAACCTTCCTCTAGGTTACCTGTGCTTGCATTTAGAAGTCACCGCCCCTATGGCTCGCTATAAAACAAGGCATCTTGGTTGGTGGCCTGATCAACCAAGCTGTTAGTGCCCGCCGCTTGCAGTTCAACGTAAGCGCCACAACCCGGCTGATCAGCAACTGTTTTGAGGAATGTGTCGAGCTCTGTCGATGAGGACAGCCAGGGAGCTTGTTGGTAATCCCCTTTATGCATGAAGGGAAGGTGTTGGAGTCTTTTTTCCTTTACACTTATTGAGTTCTCTCTCAATGTACTTATTGCAGCCCTACTTTTACCCAAAGGTAAATTTACTGCACCGTCTGCTAAGCCTCTTGGTACTATATGCAGTCATTTCGGTGTGCAGGTTTTGTACCAATCCTTCCAGTTTGTTACTGATGTAAATTATGATGTCACTTTCTTGCCTTCATTCTAGGGAGCACAGTTCTAGGGACCTAAAGCGCTCCCAGTAATTTATGTTTCACAGAGTTTATACGATCTGTGAAGATTATCTGCATATTTTTTATCTTTGTTATTTTTGGTCTCCCTTGAATGGAGCTGTTAATACACAGCAATATTCCAGCCTAGAGAGTACGAATAACCTAAGAACATCAACACTGGCTTGATATCTATTGTTGGAAAGTTCTAATTATCCAACTTATCATTTTTCTTGCAGTTGCGATAATAACATTGTGCTCCTTGATTGTGAGAACTTCTAACATTATAACTCCCAGGTCTCTCATATTTAAATTTCGTTCTGTTGTGTGATTTGAGTTCGTCTTGTACTCTGATCTTATTTTTATTTGTACCATCTTTCCGAGACGTAATAACTGAAATTTGTCTTCACTGAACATCATTTTGTTGCCACAAGCGCACTGCAAATGTTGTTTATATAAGCATGGAGGCTCACTGTGACTTCTGTGAATGCCACTCTCATTCAGATTCCAGTATCTTCTACAAAGGATGTTACACCACAATGGTTTCTGTTCTTATCTATGTCAAATATAAGAATAAGAAAGAATAGTGGGGCGACTATCATATCTTACCGTGCTGTGGAAGCAGAATTTTCCACTGTGGCAACGCTTGATTTCACTGTTTACTCTTACTGTTTATGTTTTATTTGTTAAGAAGTTAAGTATAAATCTGCTCACCTTTCCATTTTTTCTTTTGTATTTTGAGAGCAATTACCACATGGTCGCACTTGTCAAAGACTTTTCCAAACAAAACAACTTTATTTTTTTCTGCAGTATACAAAAATATAGTCTGCATGTAATAAAATATTGTTAATTATTATTATAATCAAAAAGAAGCGCTAAGCCACAAGGGCTATACAGCGATTAAGCATAAAAGAAAGCCACTAGCATGCGGTGCGTTTACATTTTTGCTGGTCTGCTAGTGTATGCAAGACCGTGTCGTAATGGTCCAGTAATTGGGAAAGGCAGGAGCGACCAGTTCTAAACCCATGTTGACCAGGACTGTGCAGTTGCTGCCATTCCATGAGATTAACATCCTTACTATCACAGAGCTGAGTTTCGTCTAAACACAAGTGGGAATTTTGGACATGTTTCCTTACATCCCAATGAAAATAATCAATAATGGTATTTCTGGGTTATCCTGGGTTATTAACTCTGGGTTGATAATTCGAATAAAATCTTGCAAGATTGTCTCCAAAAGTCAGAGTGATTTATATCCTTCGGTGTCCTCATTATAATTTCTTCAATCTTTTTTTATCGACTTTTTCACTGAGGCTTAGTGGGCTCTTCATGAAGAAAGTTTCTGATGAAAATGCTGAAACAAATTATTAGTAAATATGACAATATGTACAATGTATAATTGGTACTGGAGCAATGGCATCAGTTTCTAGCTGGCAAATGAGCAGCTGGCATCTGAACTTCACCCAACACAGCCTCTAGACACATGGCCGATACTCTGTTTACACTTACCAATTTATTGTGTTCGTAAAATGTGTTTATATTTCCTCAAAACATATCAGTCTTACAAGCACATTCCACGAAGTAAAGCTAATAGAAGCATTGAAATCTGATAAACTTAAGAAGTAGAGACAAAATACACAAAAGGTGAATATGTAATGAACGCTAGCATCGGAGCGGCAAAATGGAGAGAGAGAGAGAGAGTTGGGCCAGCAGACAGTCGTGGTTTGTACCTGAGAGTGAGCATGTGTGTAGCAACCTCTCCCGTGGGTGATCTCTCTCGCCTCCACTCATACACATGGTGCTAGAGTGAGACTCTTAACAAGTGTATGATAAAGTAGTAGTCTGAGGACATTTGAGAATGGATGTGATGGGATCAGTGTGCGTGTTGGTGATGCTGGTTGTAGCCACCTCTTGCACAACACTGGATTACAAACAGCTCTTAAAATGGCTCAGTGTGGGGCCCACTGTCTTGATCAGGTGAGTCAGGTGGAAATTGACGGTGATGTGAGGTGGTATTAACGGTGATGTGAGGTGGTATTGACGGGATGTGAGGTGTATTAACGGTGAGTGAGGTGGTATTAACGGTGATGTGAGGTGGTTTATTGACGGTGATGTGAGGTGGTATTAACGGTGATGTGAGGTGGTATTGACGGTGATGTGAGGTGGTATTAACGGTGATGTGAGGTGGTATTGACGGTGATGTGAGGGGTGGTATTGAGGGTGAGATGAGAGTGGTCATGTGACATGGTGTTGGGGAGGATTTGGCGTGGTGATGAGGGGTGGAGATTCAGTGATGTGAGGAAGGTGATGTTGGGGGATTACATGATGCAGTTTTGGGATGTGGAGGTGACGTGACATGATGTTGGTGATATGGCGTGATATTGAGGAAGATTTGGCGTGGTGTTGACGAGTGGACAGGCAGTGATGTGAGGAAGGTAGTGTTGGGGGTGATGTGATGCAGCTTTGGGATGTGGAGGTGATGTGACGTGGTGTGGGCGGTAATGAGACGTGGTATTGGTGGTGATGTGGCATAGTACTGGAGGTTATAGACCTCTAATCATGCCATAACTCCAATACTTAGATGGAACTTAAGCTGATAAATGCAAGACCTCATAACATTTTAACTCTAGTCATTATAAAATTACTTTATGTTATTCATAAGTCAAATCTAAAGTGAAATAGCGATGCCCACGATGCCTCAGATTCTTCACAATGCTTATTATCCCACCGTAAACTAACCTCATTTCAGTGCCCCCTGAAGTCAGTGTGGCAAATGAACTTTAAATCTTTCTCATGACGAATCACAGTGGCTGGAAGCGATAATTCATGGGTAGATATGGCATAAGTTCAGCCTTTGGCGAAACAAACTTCCACAAAACCACTCCTCGCAGCACTAGAGGCTCCACTCAGTGCGACATTCTCTCAACCCTAACAATAGAACCAGCTGAAACTATTGCACACAAGATCACTGAAATGACCTGGTTCCAAGCTCATCAAAATTATTAGAGAGCCTTAAGCTGCCACATTACTATTGCAGCACCTTAGTGTGTTGTATTTTACTTTCCAGTCCAGCTTCTTTTAAGCTGCCACATTACCATTGCAGCACCTTAGTTTGTTGTATTTTACTTTCCAGTCCAGCTTCTTTTAAGCTGCCACATTACCATTGCAGCACCTTAGTGTGTTGTATTTTACTTTCCAGTCCAGCTTCTCCGAAGCTTGAAGAGCTCCATAACTTAAGTTTCCGTCTGTAAATTATAACTGTGAGTGAAAAATTCTCAAAATGTAATGAAAAAGGTACTCAAAAAATAATCATGTGGTGGTAGGAGAAAATAAATTTTCAAATTGCTTCCAGGAGAAATCTTAAGACTTTTCTTTGAGGACATTATATTGATTTTTTTTTACGATAAATCTGCGAAAATAAATCAGAACATAATGAAATTAATACATTAATCAATGATTTTATGTAATTACTAAATAAATTTAAACAGACATGATATCTATCTATCAATATATATATATTCTACTCACCCGTAGTTTTTGCATTATAATATATAAAAATAAAATATATAATATATATATAAATATATATATATAATATAATATATATAAAATATAAAATATATATATATTATATATATATAATATATATATATTTAAAATTAAAGTCCTTTCTAAAAATTTCTCTTATACTTTTAAAGATATATTTTTTTTCATTTATGTAAAAGTAAAAATTAATAATTTTATTCCAAAGGAACCTTAGAAAACTTACCTAACCTTATTATAACAAGCGCAATTTAATTTAGCCTAATCCAACTAAATATGTTTTAAATAAGTTTACAATAATTTAATAATAAATAAACACAATGAAATATATTTTTTTCGTTAGGTTGAAAATGATTTTTGAGAAATTATTGCATACACAAATTTTCGCTTGCCTTATTCGGCAAGAAGAGCATTGCTATTTAAGCCAAAAATCTCAAGTTTGACCTATTCGGCACGACATGTATATATGTAGCAAAATTTAGCTAAAAATAAATTACGTTAAATTGTAAGGTTAGGTGAGATGTCTAAATTAGAGTAGTCCCCATTTTTTTTACACCATTGTCAATGAAAAAATTACATCCATCTGTAATTTCAATTTTTGCGGGGAAGTTAATTTTTTAAGGTAGTTCGGCCTGCTCTGCAAGTTCGACATACTACATACATACATACATACATACATACATACATACATACATACATACATACATACATACACACCCACATAGGAATCAAGAAATATTGCAGTGATGGGTAGGAAACAATTCAGTATTGTGAGCGAGAATGGAACTTGATCCTGGTGATTCCAGGATCACCAGGATCTGAACTATTTACTTTGTGCTGTGAGCTGAAGTGTCAGCCATAGTAATTCCTATACACTGGGTAAGCTAAGGTGTCAGCCGGTGTAGCTCCAATACACTGGGTAAACTGTTGTGTCAGCTAGTGTAGTTTGAAATCAGTGGCTGAGCTGATGTGTCAGCTAGGGTAGTTCCCACACTCTAGAAAAGTTGATGTGTCAGCCAGGGGAGTCGTTACACACTTGATGAATTGATGTGTCAGCCAGGGTAATAACTAGAACAGAGTATACTACAGACTCTGGCCATACAATAGAGCGGAAAAATAATGTAAGGGACCTGGGAGTAGTAATGTCTGAAGATCTCACTTTCAAGGATCACAACAGTGTCATGATCGCACGTGCAAAGAAAATGTTAAGATGGATAATGAGAACTTTCAAAACGAGAGATGCCAAGCCAATGATGATCCTTTTCAAATTACTTGTTCTCTCTAGGTTGGAATACTGCTGTACATTAACATCTCCATTCAAAGCAGGTGAAATTGCAGATCTAGAGAGTGTACAGAGATCCTTTACTGCACGTACAAGTTCTGTCAAGCACCTTAACTACTGGGAACGCTTGGTAGCACTTGACTTATACTCGTTGGAACGCAGGAGGGAGAGATATATCATAATCTACACTTGGAAAATCCTGGAAGGAATGGTCACAAATCTGCACACACAAATCACTCCCTACGAAAGTAAAAGACTGGGCAAGCGATGCAAAATGCCCCCAATTAAAAGTAGGGGCGCCATTGGTACACTAAGGGAAAACACCATAAGTGTTCTGGGCCCAAGACTGGTCAACAGCCTCCCATCAAGCATTAGGGGAATTACCAATAAACCCCTGACTGCCTTCAAGAGAGAGTTGGACAGATACCTAAAGTCAGTGCCGGATCAGCCGGGCTGTGGCTCGTACGTTGGACTGCGTGCGGCCAGCAGTAACAGCCTAGTTGATTAGGCCCTGATCTACCGGGAGGCCTGTTCATGGACCGGGCCGCGGGGGCGTTGATCTCCGGAATAACCTCCAGGTAATCCAGGTACACACTGGGTGAGCTGTGTCAGCCCAGGCAGGCACCCACCCACACACACACACTCTGGGTTACTGATGTCAGTGTGTCAGTTGGGTGATGACTGACATGTCAGCTGGGATATCCACTACACTGTGTGGTGACTGACATGTCAGCTGGGGGTATCCACTACACTTGATGATGACTGACATGTCAGCTGGGGTATCCACTACACTGCGCGATGACTGACATGCCAGCTGGGGTATCCACTACACTGTGTGATGACTGACATGCAGCTGGGTATCCACTACACTGTGTGATGGACTGACATGCCAGCTGGGGTATCCACTACACTGTGTGATGACTGACATGCCAGCTGGGGTATCCACTACACTGTGTGATGACTGACATGCCAGCTGGGGTATCCACTACACTGTGTGATGACTGACATGCCAGCTGGGGTAATCCACTACACTGTGTGATCACTGACATGCCAGCTGGGTATCCACTACACTGTGTGATGACTGACATGCAGCTGGGGTATCCACTACACTGTGTGATGACTGACATGCCAGCTGGGATATCCACTATACTGTGTGATGACTGACATGCCAGCTGGGGTATCCACTACACTGTGTGATGACTGACATGCCAGCTGGGGTATCCACTACACTGTGTGATGACTGACATGCAGCTGGGGTATCCACTACACTGTGTGATGACTGACATGCCAGCTGGGGTATCCACTACACTGTGTGATGACTGACATGCCAGCTGGGGTATCCACTACACTGTGTGATGACTGACATGCCAGCTGGGGTATCCACTACACTGTGTGATGACTGACATGCCAGCTGGGGTATCCACTACACTGGGTGATGACTGACATGCTAGCTGGGGTATCCACTACACTGTGTGATGACTGACATGCCAGCTGGGGTATCCACTACACTGTGTGATGACTGACATGCCAGCTGGGGTATCCACTACACTGGGTGATGACTGACATGCCAGCTGGGGTATCCACTACACTGGGTGATGACTGACATGTCAGCTGGGGTATCCACTACACTGGGTGATGACTGACATGCCAGCTGGTGTATCCACTACACTGGGTGATGACTGACATGCCAGCTGGGGTATCCACTACACGTGTGATGACTGACATGCCAGCTGGTGTATCCACTACACTGGGTGATGACTGACATGCCAGCTGGGGTATCCACTACACTGTGTGATGACTGACATGCCAGCTGGGGTATCCACTACACTGTGTGATGACTGACATGTCAGCTGGGGTATCCACTACACTGGGTGATGACTGACATGCCAGCTGGGGTATCCACTACACTGTGTGATGACTGACATGCCAGCTGGGGTATCCACTACACTGTGTGATGACTGACATGCCAGCTGGGATATCCACTATACTGTGTGATGACTGACATGCCAGCTGGGGTATCCACTACACTGTGTGATGACTGACATGTCAGCTGGGGTATCCACTACACTGTGTGATGACTGACATGTCAGCTGGGGTATCCACTACACTGGGTGATGACTGACATGCCAGCTGGGGTATCCACTACACTGGG